CACTTATACATAATCGATTAACGAAACAGAAATATTTGATGTACTACAAAAATTACAACCCTCGCAATCGAAGGTTACTATACATATAAGTCTGAATGTTCTTGTAAAATTCGTAATTTTAAAGGAAAGAGGAACTTTATCCTTAGATCGCAATTGAAGGGTTTCCTAGGGATCACTTATACATAATCGATTCACGAAACAGAAATATTTGATGTACTACAAAAATTACAACCCTCGCAATCGAAAGTTACTATACATATAAGTCCGAATTTTCTTATAAAATTCATAATTTTAAAACCAAAGGGACGTTTAACCTTAGAGAGAAATTGAAGGGTTGCTTAAGGATCACTTATACATAATCGATTAACCAAACATAAATATTTGATTTACTACAAAAATTACAACCCCCGGAATCGAGGATTACTATACATATAAGTCTGAATTTTCTTATAAAATTCATAATTTTAAAACCAAAAGGAGGTTTAACCTTAGAGACCAGTTGAAGGGTTGCTTAAGGATCACTTATACATAATTGATTAACGAAACAGAAATATTTGATGTACTACAAAAATTACAACCCCCGCAATCGAGGATTACTATACATATAAGTCTGAATTTCCTTATAAAATTTATAATTTTAAAACCAGAGGGAGGTTTAACCTTAGAGACCAATTGAAGGGTTGCTTACGGATCACTTATACATAATCGATTAACGAAACAGAAATATTTGATGTACTACAAAAATTACAACCCTCGCAATCGAAGGTTACTATACATATAAGTCTGAATGTTCTTGTAAAATTCGTAATTTTAAAGGAAAGAGGAACTTTATCCTTAGATCGCAATTGAAGGGTTTCCTAGGGATCACTTATACATAATCGATTCACGAAACAGAAATATTTGATGTACTACAAAAATTACAACCCTCGCAATCGAAAGTTACTATACATATAAGTCCGAATTTTCTTATAAAATTCATAATTTTAAAACCAAAGGGACGTTTAACCTTAGAGAGAAATTGAAGGGTTGCTTAAGGATCACTTATACATAATCGATTAACCAAACATAAATATTTGATTTACTACAAAAATTACAACCCCCGGAATCGAGGATTACTATACATATAAGTCTGAATTTTCTTATAAAATTCATAATTTTAAAACCAAAAGGAGGTTTAACCTTAGAGACCAGTTGAAGGGTTGCTTAAGGATCACTTATACATAATTGATTAACGAAACAGAAATATTTGATGTACTACAAAAATTACAACCCTCGCAATCGAAGATTACTATACATATAAGTCTGAATTCTCTTATAAAA